TGAACTGTGTAGTGAGACCATGTCTCAAAAAAAAAAAGCCATTGTAACCATTAAAATGTGGTGAATAAGTGAGACATCTTCATATATACCTACATTAGATTGATGAAGGTCTCACCATAGGCTGCATCCAAGTAAAAGCATGCTGAAAAATAAATTTGATTTTTATACAGAAAAAAAATGATGCTAAAAGAAAGTTGTTGGGTTTTTTTGGTGGGGGTGGGGATGCTAGGAACTGACCCCAGGGCCTCATGCATGCTGGGTAGGTGCCCTACCAAAGAGCTACAACCCCAATTCAGAAAGATACTTCTGTGCAAGCTGGTGTTTTAAATAATGAAGTTGAGAATCTTTTCAGTTTCCCTAGAGTTGTATTTTCACAGTATTTTGCTTTTTAATGGGGGCAGGGGTATGAGTTCCTATGATACAGCTGTAAGTTCAAACCTGTCTTGAGTTTGAATCCAGAGATTCAGAATGGGCATGCCGCGTAGGTTTTCCTAGACTAGCCTGGAGAATTAGCCATATGCATGCTATGCATGAACTTCATCCCATCGTGGAATTAGCTGTAGACATTCAGTGCCCTTTTATGTGACTTTCTGCCCATCTCGCCTGTCACACAGAGCCACTCTGCTTTCACAATTTTTAGGACACTTCCAGCTTCTCCACTGAAATTCACGGAAGAGTTGACAAGTTTGACTGTGTAGCCTAACAGTCCCCTTACCCCTACGAAAGGTCAATGGGAAATTTGTCCTGGCCTCAGTGATCACCATGTGCCCTTGCCTCAGATCTCTTCACAGACTCACATGGTAAAAACTCAAAACCAAGGGGCTGTGGATATAGCTCAGTGACATAAGCGCCTGCCTGGCAAGCGCAAGGTCGTGAATTCGATCCCTGGTACTGAAAAAAAAAAACAAAAAAAACTCAAAACGAGTCAAAAAGTATCCATCAAAAAAATCTTGCGCGGCATGTAGTGCGCACGTGTGATGCCAGCTGCTCCACAGGCAGGGGCAGGAGGATTGCGAGTTTGAGACCAGCCTGGGCTACAAAGTGACCTCAAGGCCGGTCTGAACTGCATAGTGAGACCCTGTCTCAAAAAGATTAAAAAAAAAAAAAAGTATGATCTCAAGGTGCACCCAATTATCTAGAAATGTCTCAAGCTTATCCTTTATGACAAAGTAGTACTCTGTTATATTAAAAAGAAACCACATCTTTATCCAATCATCAGTTCCCTGTGCCTTTTTTGTTTTTATTTTAAGACCATCTTCCTGTGTTTCTCAGGCTGGCCTCAAATTTGTAATCCTCCTGCTTCAGACTCATGAGTAGTTGGATTACAGAGGTGTGCCACCATGCTCGGCTATCCCTAGCTCTC